ATGTGGCAGTTGAGCAGTTAGCCATTCCCTCCTACCTTTTCCTCAGCCCTTTCCCACCCTAAAGATCTATATTTAGGGCTAGTCTTTCACTGGAACAATGGTTAACTACGATTCAACTGCAGAAGCCTGCTTGAAGATTCAACTTCTTTTCTCTCTGGAGTTTTACTATTATGTTCCCTCTACTAGACAGGAATAAGAAAAACCTATTGCTTCTACTGGGTTTTTTTTTTCTGGTTTTCGATTATTCATGGACAGATTATTCATACTGTAAACAAATTAACTATGATACAAATGAAGACCTTAAAAGGCCCTGCACCAAGGCTATCCTAACTTATGCAAACTGTTTTGCAAATCTAGCTATACTGCCTCTAGACAAAGCCAGCCTTGCTTCAATCAGTACAGCCATATTTGTGTGCAGCCTGAGATAACTTGCCCTGCTAGATTCCAAACCCCACACTTCCAAGCCTGGAGAGTAGTACAGAGGCCTTCCAGGAACTCTGCAGTCAAACAGTCTGTGCACAGCCTCATACCCCACAGAAGAATCTATGCAGGTCCTGTAACATGCCTAGTAACACACAACCTCAATGACCTTTGCAGAAACTATTGTGGTAGTGACTGATCTGGCACAAAAGTCCAATTAAACCCAGTCATTTAAAAAAAACCAAAAACCAAAAAAACACCAACCCACGGAATTTATTATTTTTCTTTAAATCACGGTCCTTCAATGCATCGTCCAGTAACCATGCTATGTATGCCACTGTATATCAGCCCTAAAGAAAACTCTCCAATCAGTGCAAGTACCTCTCCCAAAATGTCATCATATATCACTAGATAATGCTGAGCATTTCTCTGCTTTCTATCATTTACATACCATGAAGTGCTATAACTACCTGAGAGCCATTAAGGAAAGATTTAATTTGAGAAAAGAGAGGAAAGTTTTGCGCTAAAAATATTAACCTGCACAGGTCTTACCTTGACAGAGTTATAGAAAGCTTCGAACACACCCACACTTTTGGCACTAAGCTGCAGATTTACTGATCCTTCCATTGTTAATGAGATACCTTGGTGCTGGACTGTGTCCTTACTTGTTATGACCACGACTCCAGAAAGAACTTCCTAATAGGAGAAAAGACAACATGAAAACATTTGCTTAAATAAATTTTTTCCATAGCTGTTACTCAGACAGTGTGCTAACTGATTTTCAAACTCAAGAAAACTGTTCCCAGAGAACAGTCTAACCTTGTCAAAAAAGACAAATACTGATAATGAAAGCAATGTGAAGAAGAGACCTTTGTACTTCTACATTTGTTTTCTTTAAAAATATTATCTTCCTCCTTGCAGAAGTACTAATCTGAGCTTCAGTTTCTTTCCAAAGTTTCTAGATCTTCCTCTCCAGGAAGATGAAAAGTATCCTCATAGACAACTATCAGGTCAGTTGGTAATAGACAAGTTCCATTTCACATGTCAGAATGAAATCCCAGCAGTAATTTTTATATGAAGAGTGGGATGGTCAGCCATAGAGATGGAAGAGAAGGCATAACTGTGAAAGCAATGGCCAAACTGAGGATAAGACTCACCTCAAGAGTGGAGCGGAATAGACTTGAAATAAACAAATAAACAGTTGTTCTGCTACACAAGCAAATTCTGTGCTACATGGGAAATAGTTTAAATGAATCGAAGGCAAAAGTTGTGTGACTCAAGAGATGCATGTTTCTCCCATTAAGAACGTTTTGTCTACAAAATTGTATTTGCACAAGAACACTGCATCTTGGAAGTATCAACTTAGAAGTTCTAACACTGAAAAAAGGAGTAACTGCAGGAGAGCAACACAGTTCATTTTACATACCCCATAGTTTATCCTTCCCCTCTCCCATAACAGAGAATCCACTCCAATCCAGAGTTCCACGTCAAACTTTCATACACAACTGGAAATAGCAGCAAGTGATTTGAGAACCTGAAGAAAGTTTCTCGGGGCTAACCTTCTCTTCCTCTCGATGGTAACGCTCTCTGCACCTTCACCAGGCTTGTAAACTAGACACCAAACTACAGTCCACTCCAACCAAAGGATAATTCAGACTGCCCACCCTACACTCCATCAGTTAAAGCCAGTCTAGTTATGTACATCTCTGACAGACACTATTTGAATTTTGCCAGCCTTTTGTCTTTACTAGTGGTACAGGATGACAATATAAAAAACGGGTCAGGCGGTTTAAAGCAGAACAGGACAGCAGTAGAACATCAAAGCATCACAACGAAGGCTGACATGCTGCAAGTCTGAAAAGAGGACCTGCAGCAATTGGGAAATGCCAGGAACAGAAAGCACAAGCACAAAAGGACAGTGAAGAAAAGCTGACCTAAATACTGCACTGCTTTGCTAACAGGCTCCAATTAGTACAAGCAATTAGGTTATTACTTTAAAAAATGAGTACAGATGAACTATAAGCAGCAAGGACAATCCTGAACGTATGAACTGCTTTAATAAATGAGAACAGTCTCCCACCACACAGCAACAACCTATTCCAGAGCTATTGCCTACATACATACACCCTTATTGTATGAAAGTATTTGGGGCAGAAAGGAGAAGAATGGCTTGACAGCAAATATGAATTTTTCTTATAACATTCAGTGTCTCTTCAGAAATGAAAACACCACCTCAAAAACACTTTCTAACAAGAACTTTTAAAGGTCACTAGTGTCAGGGGAGAGGGATGTATCATGAAAAAGATGCTGTAATATTTACTTAATCTGTTCATATGCAATCAGATTATATTTCTGTTTGATGTGGTGGGGGGGAAGTCAGCTATGTCTTTTCTGGAGAAGAGCTACTTTGTCCTTTTTTGTGTAACACCAGGGTCCCCTCTAAATACAAAGCTGTCAGTATACTTGTCCTTCTAAAAAGTATAAATCAAAGAACGTAAGCTTACCAAGACATTCAAATTCTTATAGTCAGCACACAATTTATGAGAAAACTTTACAAAACATTTGCAAACATGCACCATTTGTAAAAGTTATGTGGCATAACTTAATACTAAACTAGTACTGGTTTTAGTCCATATCAAAAGGGGTTCATTTACCTTTAACACCACAAAACTAAAGGCGCAGAGAAAGTCGCCAATGGAATTAATCCCCACTTACTACAGTGTTGTAACTTAACAATCAGCTGCTCTTATGCACTTTTCACCTTCTCCCTTACTAGGAACTCCTCATGGCTTCACCAGCGATGACAAAACTTTGCAAGATGGAACTAAGCTAATACAGTTCTACACAGAATTATTCATCTAAACAAAGTATCCATCCAGAGGAAGGCCAGCGTATTACATGAAGCAGACAGAAGTGAGGTACAAACGCTCACCTGCAAACAAAACACTCTTGTGAGAAGACTGTCCCAGGTTAGTTACCTCAGACAAGCTTTTTAGCTTTCTGTTGTCCATTCCTTCGCATTCAGATATGCACATGAAACTGCCAGGAAGACTGACACTTTCAAAGTTTCAGTCACTTTCAAGGTCACAACTAAGATGAACACCTGCTCCATCTGATCTAGCAGCACAATCCCTCGTTTCTCTAGTTGTGGAGCAGTTACCCAAGTCTGGCTGAGGACAATTTGGAAAGCTCTTCAATCACCAACATGAAATGGTGCATAACACGCAACACAGAATCTCATCTCGAGAGTCCTAAGTCACATCTAGACTTCTGACTCAACTAGACAGCTATTTGGTATCTATAAACTTTACTATGTAAAGACTGGAAGGATCAAAGTACACACTAAACTGTCCCATAAACTGCTGGGAAAATTACTTTTAGTGTTAAAATATATACTAATGCCAACCTGACTGTTTACACTGTCAGGTCTGTTTGCTACATTAAGGAGCTAGAAAAACAATTTTAGCTAGATACTATGTATTTTCAGATTGTATCTAATCACTTGACAGCATCCCTGATAAGAAATACCAGCCTATTTTTTTTTAAATGCAAGATAGCTTTGAAAAAAAACAACAAACCAACCACAAGGCAGGTTTTCAAGACCACTTGAAATTCATCATCACACTTTCTGAGGTGTTGATAACAGCAGAAGACAAAATACCTAATGCCACACAGAAATGCCTAAGATCTCTCTAGTTCCATTTGATATCCACTATACGTCTATGGATTAAGATTCTCCATTATTCTGGTAGAATGGAAGTCCACAGTCAGTTGGTTACCGACAAGATGCCTTTGGTTCCGTTTGGATTCCACTTTCCACATCACAGGCATCCACTTTTAGGACAAAGGGCAAACATTTGGCAATTTAAAAACTCACATTAGGTTCACATAAGTCACATTTACCAAATATTCCTGATAATTTTCTTCCACATCTATTCCACTACGCAAGCCACCTGCAAATCTTAACTACATATTCTTCCGATGATTTAGAAAGAAACTGACAACACTCAATAGAAAAAGTCTGCTAGACCCAACTAACTAGTCATTAGATGCTTTAAAACCTTAATGCTCAGATTTACTAATTAGTTTGCTTTTTTAGAAAAAGTAGAAGGCTTCCTTATGGGCAAATTCTGACTTAAGTACATTTTGGATTCACTTGTCATTAGAAGTCTTGGCTGACATTAACTATGGCACCTTTCTTTGTACAATACATTTTTTAGGCCTTTCAGCCTAGCATTCTTTTAATTATCAATCCCAGACTAACCACCACAGTTACTCCAGTCATCCTGTTTAGGTTTTCTAAACAAAACACATCATTAGTTGTGCTTGTCCCCTCATTCTTCTAAGCATTCCAGAGTTTATTAAATGAGCCTCAATGGCTCAAGAATTCTCCATCCAATTACAAAAAAAAAAAAAAAAAAAAAAAAAAAAAAACCCCCCCAAAAAAAAAAAAAAAAAAAAAAAAAAAAAAAAAAAAAAAAAAAAAAAAAAAAAAAAAAAAAAAAAAAAAAAAAAAAAAAAAAAAAAAAAAAAAAAAAAAAAAAAAAAAAAAAAAAAAAAAAAAAAAAAAAAAAAAAAAAAAAAAAAAAAAAAGCCTCCTGAACACAGATCTTCTGTTCCTAGGAACTTAAACACAGTTTTGCTGCACTAAGCCTTATTTTGCTATTATAGGACGTGTTATTAGGATCCATTTTATTGTCTTTTTGTTCTTTAATCCCCTAGCACCTTTTTTTTTTAAAAAAAAAAACAAACCAATGTTATTACTCTTTTGGTCCAAGAAGTGGCAAACTTGGTTTTTGCTCACAATTTAAAGTAATCTGCTTAAGCCAGCTTTTCTCAAATTGAAGTCTGGATAGAATAAAGGTCTTTGTTTAGTTTCTCCAGTTTCTGATGATTATGACTAATGAATAAAGAAATTGCTTACTGTTTATCACAGCACGTTATTTTTAACCAACTTCCTTTTTAAAAGCAGGAACACAATATCAGGCTTGCACAATGCATGACTATTTTACAAATTTTGTGTCTAATTTCTCCCAATTAAAAAAGAAGAGTCAATGCAGAAGCAACGAACAACTAAAAGGAACAAAATAGATGCCTACTCAACTACCTAGAACTAAAGAAAGTTATGTCTAATCTCTCTTCTGTAGGCCATCCAGCACAAGACCATTCTGATACTGACTGTTAAATATTCTCTGTTCTACTCAAGAAGACGTTCATAAGGAAAAAAAAAAAAGAAAGGACGTCCATGATTCAACAGATCAATTTTAAAATTATTATTATTATTATTTACTTAAGTGTCGGGCCAATCAAGTACTATCCATTTCCCTGATCTGGTTTACTGCATAGCCAATAGTGTCAGCACAAGAAAGGCAGCAGAAATTAAATGGCTAGGGAGGTGAGTGGCATTGTGGAGTTATGCTGGATTAATCATGGTCTCTGGCAAATTATGACTTAGAAAGCTCAGTAATGTTTTAGCAATTTTTCGTACTACTATAATGTAATAGGCATAACAAAAAGACTATTATACTAGTGCATAATTTAGACATCACCTTCTTCCACATCCAAATGCAGCTGTAAATAAGTTCAGAAAACAAAAGATCGAGTCTAGCCACAGTATCCCCATTTCCTTCAAATGAATAGCTAGACATATACGTAGGGGTGAACTATTGTCTTTACTAAAGGAATCCTTTCATTTTCAAGTAGCATTGATGCAAGCATATTTTGGGATGAAAGTTGCCACAGACCAAAGGTATTATTAGCATAGCTACTGTCAGCTAAGTGTACAACAATCAGTAAATTTAAAAAAAAAAACCCAACCCACCCCGAAACACAAAGAAAAAACCTGCATACATTCCATCCCTAATTAAAGAGAGATTTGTACTTCCTTTCTGTCCACATGAAATTTCTATTAAAAATTCATGTTGTATTTCTAGTGCACAGCTCTTTCATCGCTGTGTTTTCACGTCACTCAGACCTCCACATTTCAGGCTTAGTTAATGAACTAAAATCATACCCCTTTTCACATGGTGGTAAAGTGGAAGCAAACAAACAATACTGACAGAGTATAAGCCGTAAGTACCTTATTTAATTTCAGCTTAAAGACAGAACAAATATCCCTTTCCTGTATTAAAAAAAAAAAATCCAGTTTAAACTGATATAAAGCAAGCCAAGTGAAGAAACTGAAAATGCGCACAGCATTATGATACTGAAATAAATGAGAGCCTTCTAACAATGTGCATTAGCAAAACAATGTGAAAGTGAGATACAGAAAGTAGTCTTTACCATTACGACAGCATACCTAAAGGGATGTGCTGTTCACAAACCGATAATTTAGCTTTATGAAAGTCATTCTCCAGATGATGACAGCTGTAGAACAGATGCTGCATACCCTTCCATTCAAATCCATTGAAAGCAGTTTTCCAGCATTAAAAACATTCAATAAATTGAAACATGCCATATGCACTGTAACAGCCAAACTACTAACGTATGGGAAAGCTGTGTGTGAAAAGGGTTTTCATAATACAGGTGTGTGGCTGGACAGCACAAAAAAAAGAAATAAATAAAAAAGGACCTGAAACTTCTGCTTCAACAATACAATATTTCTAAAAAAAAAAAAAGTGACAAAAATAAATCTCTAAAACATGAGCCGGGTGATTTTTTTAGAAAAGGCACAGCATTTTTTCAGGTAGCTGCAAAAGTTGAAGGATGCACAATCACTTTACTGTGATCAACAAGTGCATCAGTGAAGAAAGTTAAGAAATCAGACTCCCGCCCAGTGGAAAAAAAAAAAAAGTTACATCTACGCTTGCCCAAGTACTTTAAGAGGAGATTTCCTATCAGGTACAAACAACATCTTTATACACTTCCAGGTTTTTTGCAGAGCCCAGAAACGGAACAAGGCTCTGGACCAGCAACCGGCCGCACCGGCATGCTGCATGGAAGCATGGCAGGCAGGCACGAACAAGTGAAGCGGCACTGTCCCACGGGGGAGCCCCGAACTGCCACG